TATATATATATATATATATATATATATATATATGCAATCTGCAGCCTGGTTCTTCTCCGTAACTCATTAATGAAGGGCTTCTTCCTTCTTCTTGCTTTATTTGATTTCAGTCCTGCTTCTAGGAGCCTGATATGAACTGTCCTAGCAGTGCACTTCACACCTGCACTTAATGTTTCCTGTTCCTTTTGAAGGTTTCTTGATGTCATCCTACGATTCATGAGAAACTGTCGGATAAGTTAACAGTCATCTCCGGCATTAGTAAGTCGCTTGGCTGGTTTCTGGTTGTTCCCAGTATCTCCTGTTTCACCTTATCCTTGTGTCCTGCTGTCTTTGAGCCTGGAAGCAGTCTGCCTCAGCATAGCCTTCTGCCGGCAGAACCAGGATTAAACCAGGATTTAGTAATGCAGATTTGTTTAAAAACACACAGTGGTCTCTTCATTTTTTCCGCAGCTGTACAGTGGTTGTGCATAGCAGTATGAATAATTGTCACATGAACATTATTAAACATACATAACAGTCAATACAGGTACATACATTTTTAAAAATTCACTTATACATGTCATTAATCAGGAAATTAAAGGTTTTTTGTTGCCAGTGGTAATCTGGCGTGTGGCTCAGTGGGCTAAGCCTGTGTGCTTGTAATCACAAGCCCCCGAATGTTCAAACCCAGCCTCAGCATGCCTGCAGCTCCTTGAGCAAGACCCTTAACCCCCAGCTCCCTGGGTGGTGCTACAGGTGGCTGCCCTTTGCAGACAGCTTGTTCTACAAAGACCAAGTTGAGGGAGGCATAAAAACAATTTCCCCACAGGGATCAATAAAGTATCAATTATTCTTACATGGACACCGCACACATCAGTATTGAAGGTAAGCGTCTCCGTTTCGAATGAATGAGGTCACCATCGTTGCTGCGTCAGTTCCCGTTCCACAATGCTGGCTCTGCAGTCGACAATCAATCCCCGCTCCTTACAGATGGCTGGCTGCCCGTCGTCTCCACTTAAATGCGGCTGCCTATTTCCAGGCTGATATTAGTCTCGCTTTTCTGCCTGACCAAACTTTAAACTTCCATGACGATCATGAAACATTTACGCATCTATCAGTCAAGTCCAATGGAGAAAATTTAAGACCGCAGTAAATCAATTTAAAGGCAAAGATCCCTCAAAGTGATCTCACAGAGTAACAGTAAAAGGATGAGGATCCCAAACAGATCTCAGGACCACCTGCATGGATCTGCAGACCTCCCCTTTCTCAACTGTTGTAGACGGTCATACCGAGTACTAGGATACGACATAAATGCCTCTCACTGGAGCTTAGCTAAGAGAAAGGCGTGGTTCTCAAAAAGGGATCTCAATGTTAGTCAAGGTCACAAATCTATAAAACAAGAAAGTAGTTTTAGGTTTCAATATAAAATCAATATAAAAATCACTACCTTAACAAATCTGAGCAAAATTAAAAATAACTGTTAAACACTATATTAAGAAAAGACAGTTAACTTACTAGATGTAACATAATCCAAGCAAGAGCAGGACAACAAAGTATAAATACGTATTACTTTGGCTTCTGGGATTGTTATATTAATGGAAAGCGTGAACATTTACCCAACACACACACACACACACACATCTATCTATCTATCTACAGTATCTATCTATCTATCTATCTATCTATCTATCTATCTATCTATCTATCTATCTATCTATCTATCTGTATAAATATCACTCAACCGCAATTAACATCTATTAAACACAGTTAGGTTTTGTTCTTACATGTAAATAAATGCAACTTACAGCTATTGTAGATTATACAGATTTCTAGGATTGTACTCGCATTGGATAAAAAGATGGTTCCTGACTTTTTTGTCACATTTCTGCACATTTCTGTCCTTCCACAGCTGGCAGGCATGCAGGTAAATAAAGGCACAAATGTAATGGCAATTTAAAGATGAAGGGTGGGATAAGTTAATCTGAGCATGTAAGGCCACCAGTGGAAAAAATGCAGTGTTACATCATTTAAAGCAGTATCACAGGAAACAGGGTATTGGGCGATCAAGCTGTAATACAAGATCAGAGCCTAGCAGTCTGAGATTCGACTGATTAGCCTTTTCTTCTATAATTGATTTAACGAACTGTAACAGGAAAAGGGCGAGTAGAAATGAGATTTCTAAGAGTAAAGGAGATGCTTTGAGCCTTTGAATCCAAACCATGGGTCAGCACTGCGCCCATTCTGATTGAAAGCATATGTTTTGCACATGTAATGCATATTAAAATAGTGCTTGTACTACAAGCAGCCAAATATTGGTCCTCCAGACCCAGGGCGTCTGTGTTGACTGTAGGACAGATTAGCTACAACGCTGCCCCCTTAGGGAGGTCACTGGGGTTTGGTGCATTGGCCTACCATGTGCTCCTGCAGTGATCGTACGCAAAACCTCCACCGGGAGTCATAGAAGGAGTAACAGCAGGGAATCACACCCTACTGGCTGTACGGACACCAGATGAAGCGTCTTTTCCCTGACACCAAAATTTAAACTCTGAAACAAGAGGTCACACCATCATATAGACGACCCCCCCCCCCACTAATGACACTGTAATCATTACATGATTATTTGATAAAATTATATGATATTGCAACAGTGAGAAAAGGCAATTCAGGCAATCCTCCTCGTGTTGCTTGATATTGATAGACTTCACTTGTACAGATCTTCTATATTAAAAATAGGTGTTCCTTGGAATCTGAATGTAAAACATCTGTTTAAATTTCAACATATTTTAGTTCCACCTTAGTATACTATTATTAATTCTGCAAATGCGAAACACATTTTTCATTTGAGAGTCCTTGACTTTTATCCCAGTTGCTGGCGCACCATGAAAGTCCACATGTTTGTTGGTTTTTGACTTCCAGATGTTTAACTTTTATGTCTGTAACCTTAACCGAAGTATACTACAACTTCAGTTTCTGTAGCAGTTGCAACAATGCTTAAGGAAAAATGTTTTCCAACTATATTTTGATCATGACAGTAATCATTTAACTGTTTTTCCTGTGTTTTCCAGTTAATTGACTGCAGAATTTCACATTTTAAATATAGTCTTTTGTCAATAATATACATATATGCTGACAGTTAACGAGAAAGTCCTTGGCATTTCCTTATTTTAAAAATATGTTTCTATGTAAAACGAAAAGAAAAACACACACAACACTTAAACTGAGTGTATAAACAAGAATCCGTTAAATTGCTTTGTTTTTTCAACACAAGTTTCTCTCAAGGACTTTTTTTTTAATACCTTGACTTTCTTTATACTGCTGGATTCAGTATTGTTGCAAAAAGTTTCTCCATTATTTTGTGGTACCATGACAATTAATTGCTAGTGCTGATCTCATGGAAATCTGTGCAAAACCACAGCTATCTGAAACGTGACTAATAGCGCCTGTTGTGATAAATATGTGCGACTGGGTGGCCTTGAGCAAAGTCTTTGGAGGGGTGAGTGCAAGGGCGTAACTTTGGCTGGAACATCGGGGGGGTTGAGGTCTCCACCCATTACGGGGGAAACATGATTATTGGGGGGGTTGTATTAGCTGGTTTTTCTTTATTGGGGGGGTACAACCCCCACATAATTTACGCCATGGGTGAGTGCTTCAGGCTGCAGTGCCGGTGCTTTGAGTATGTTTACTGGTTGTTCCATTCTTGGTGCTGCTATTTTTATGAACTCATTTGCTGAATAAACGCAAACGCAATCTGCCTCTCGTCCAGGCTATCGGTCACAGGAAGTCAAGCAGCCATGGATTCCCAAAAAAAGAGTAAAATGTCATCAAGTGCTGCATCAACTCAGCGGATATAAAAGTTCATCCTCCGCAAAGTGACTGTGAAAGCTGTAACTCGGAACACCCTCTGTATCATTTTTGCTTTGTGGACATTTTTCTTACAACTAACAATTAGGGTATAATACAGACAGATGGTTAATACTGTATATAGCAATGACTCATTAATTTACCCCTGTGGGGAAATTCTCTTTTCGCCGACCCCCCCCCTCGTTCTCCATGACACACAGACACACCTGTAGGTGAGAGGAAGCTGGACAGTGAAGGGCAGCCGACTGCAGCCGCGGCCATGGAGCTGGGGGTTTGGGGCCTCACTGTAGTGCCCACATGCTGTTCTGGGGAGGCTGGGCTTGAACTGGCGACCTTCCGGCTACAAACGCTTAGCCTGCTGAGCTACACCTTGGCCCAGGTCAAAAGTCACACAACAGAGAAATATGGGGTAAATGCAAGGTGTGTGATTTTCTGAATAAACTGATGACTTTTGGTTTTTAAATTAATTAAAAATTGCGTCTGGGTTACAGGTCTGGTCCTGTAACTGCTGTGCCTGTGGCCTGATGGCCTGATGGGAGATGAGCTTGGGCCCGTGATACCCGCCCCCCCGCCGGGGGGGGGGGGGGGGGGGGGGCAGGGGTCAGCAAGAGACAGGATAAGGGATAATATATACCCAAGGAGTTTGGTTACTGCATACCGTCGATCTCTTCCCTAATTAATCCTCTCATTGCTGCAATGGGCACACAAAGAGAAGCAGGCGGGGGGGGGGGCAGGAGAGCATTAGGAGGAACATGATCTTTATTATTAACTGATAGTGCTTTTTCATCTCCGGTGGCCCTGAGACGGCCAGTTAAAGGACACTGAGGGGCGGGGGGGGGGCAGTGTGTATCCTGCCCAGGAATTTTACTATCTTTAGTCCGCCTGCGGAAACCTCACTTTCACTTTTCATTCTCAGTCAAACTGGCCTGTCCTCAGCCAGCCGTGATGTGGCCTTCACTGAAACACGGCCGGGAGCTTTTACCTCTAACTGAAACACGGCGGGGAGCTTTTACCTCTAACTGAA